AATTAAATAATATTTATTTAGTCATATTTAAATGCAATCAAAATTAAACAAAATATACAAAATAGAAATAAATTATAATAAAATACTATTGTAAATACAGTAAGTGTAAAATTCTGTATTCTTAATAATGATTTCAACTTCAAGATAAGGTATTGTAGACCAGAGTTAACACAATAGGCAGAGAGTGAGGGAGAGTTCACTTTGAATAGCACTTCACTTTTGTTATATAACTTTTGCCACAATATATGGTGTGATAAGAAAATTCACCGAAATATTCGCAACAATTCAATGTTGACTTATATATGGAAAGCATGAAAAGCTATGAGAAATGGCTATTAGTTTGTTATTTTAAGTGAGAATATCGAGTGAATTGAGTCACGTCTCCACTGTTGCCTATAATCCCATCCCATCTGATAAGACACACAACCATTGATAACAAGAATAATATTTATATCTTATTATTAAATATAATAAGTTATTAACTTAAGAAATATTGCACTGAACCTGACCTTTACCTGAACAGTAGTGCCTGTATGAGTGTCCCTGATAACTCTTTTATCACAATCAGTGAAAGTTCTTATAATACTGTACTCTTAAACAATGGACTTTTAATGTTTGATACAATTCTGTGATATTATGCTTAAGAAAGTTGAGAATTGTTTGAAAGTCAAGTCCATAGTGAATACAGAATATGCTAGGTCATTTACAATCAATTATGTTAGCCATTGGTTGATCTAAAAGTTGGACAAACATGCAATGAAAGGCATAATTAGACATTTGGATCGCAAAATGGTTATGAAATATGAGAAATATTAACAAAAATTATGAACAAAATATTGTTTTGTTGAGTATTGTAGTGACTGTGCGTTGAGTGCAATGCAGGCAATACTGTGAGGTTTTATGGGTTTTATGGGTCGTAATAGTCGGCCATATCTTTGCCATACATTCAGCACAAGGTTTACATTGGCTTTCAATGTGTACTTCACATACAGTAGGGGTTTGTTTGGTCTTTCAATTGTGAGCAAACACTCAATGCATTCATCCCTCGAAATGGCATCGATTTGGGCCTAAATTAAGGTAAGACTGAATTGATTGATAAAATAATTGTTTGATTGCAATGAATGAGTTCATAATTCACGTAATAGTGGTTTACGTGACACGTCTTGTGCGACACTAATAGACACTATAATACGATATCAAGTGAAAGACATTTCAATGCATGAAACTGTATGTCTGTCTGTATGAGTGTATTGGCTATGAATGCAGTGAAACACCATTTGCTGTGCCTTTTAAATCCATTGCAAACATAATGTCATCGAAAATACACTATTAATTCAATTCATGGATAACTATACTATTGATTGAAATGAGTGTATAATTGTTATCATATACTGACTGTACATACATTCAAATGTGTCTATCATTACGACAACTATAACTCAAATTGAGTTCACATTTGCATTGGTTTTGAGGAAAACAAACAAAAAACTTGTTTTTTAAATCACTTTTTGAATTGAGTTTTAAACTGCAGTTTCGTTCAACACTTTCACGAGTTTATCGCAAAACTCACTGTTATTTTGGACTCACTTTCAGTAACCAATGCTTTGTTTAATTGCCATTTGAAGTGAATTTCTCGTATTTTACTCATTAATTGCATTTAATATTCAATTAATGATATATTTATGACAATTAGTATTGAAAGCTATTTGTAATACCTTTTCACTCAATGTTTTAAACAAATTAATTAATTGACTAATAATTTACATATGAATTGATTTGATATATTAAATACAGTAGTATTGCAGTAAAAATTGATTTGCATGTTTAATAAATGATACTGGTACATGTTTATTATTTATATTAATTTTGTTTTTTAATCCCATTTTTAGGTCATAATTGGCATCGATTTGAAGACATTTTCTAATAAATGCATTCAATGTCTGTATTTGTCATTGAAATCAAGTCATAAAACACACACACATTGAAAATGTATTCAAAACTCATGTCGTTTTCAACATTTTGTCTTCACTTCAATCACACATTAAGTCCTTTCAGTTGAGAATCACTATCGAAACCCATATAAGCATTCATTTAGCGAAACAAGTATTTAATAATTAATTAAATTAATATTTAAGTTAAGAAACGATTAGAAAGTGTCACTAAAAGGGACATTAAAACTGAGTGTTCATTAAAAGCACAAAATATACCCCAAAAATGTCTTCACAAACGCAAACTCAGATCCACTCCCAGACGCGATCACAATCGAGATGTCTTTCGCCGGTCTTTCAGTCACCGAAAGACGAATCCAATCGAAAGCAACTGAAGACCGAAAGATATTCCGATTGCAAGACAAACGCCGACTCGAAGGACAAGAAGAATGAGACCAAAGGTGAGGACACGGATGAGGACGGGCCGGCTAAGCGTCTTAGGCCGCGTCGGAGTACCCCTAAAGCGGTGACCCCTTCGCCCGGCAAACGCTTCTCTCCGTTCACAGCAATGATGAATAGACTGAAGACTCTGAACAACGGGTCGGAAGTGAAACGGAAACTCCTGTTCAACAAACAAAAGGTCTATCCGTCGACTTTCAACTCGGATGAGACGGTCCCCAACACTCGACTCATACCTCCCCGCTCTCCCAGTTGTTCCGTCTGTGAAGACATATTTGTGTCGCCGTTTGTGCCCAAGATATCGACTAAAGAGCTCGAAGCGGACAAAACATACGGCGCTTACTATCTGTCGCTCAAAATCATTTGCAGAGAAGACATTGAAGTGAATGACCAAAAGTACATGAAACTGATCGCTACCGACGCCAACATCGATGATGTCTGTCAGCCCTCCACCTCTAAGTCTAAGTAATTAATTAATTCTTGTTATCAATATTAATGTGAATATTAATTATGTTATGATGTCTTGTAGTGGAACCGTTGTCTGTGAGCCAAAGATAGCGATCTATTTGTACGATCCGTACGTTAACTGTAGAGCAGAGAACAACAAAGTCATAAATATTGTTAAGTTTAAGACCCAATCAAAAGTCGGTGACATAGAGGCCATCGGCGGTGACTTTTCGTTCGCTATTGTCGTCCAATCGCAAGTGGAGGACAAATGGGTTCCCTTTGTATCGATAACCAACACATGGAAGGCACCGGAAGATCCCAAAGAACTGAATAAGACTCTGTTTCAGGGACCCACTGAATCCATACGTAAACCAGAGTTGTTCTCATCGAACACCACTAAGAAGTGACCACTTTTTATCTGTACAGTAGCTCTCATTATCTGTTTTTTGATCTCATCTTTAATTTTTCACGAAACAAATGAAACAAACAGATTGTATACATTTTCTATAAGATATTCATATCTTTTGTTTATATTATATATTAAAAGTGCATATATATCTAGATTTAGTCCAATTTCACGACCATTTTCTTCACCTGTTTTCTGTAGAATTTTCACAAAATTTTGCTTTTCTTAGCACTAATTCTATGGTATTATATAATTATTATTTATAGTTTGCTCTTAGATTTTGCAAATTTCATTCGTAATCAAAATATCATTAATAAGTGTTTAATTTGTTTTGTGATCCATATATTTGTACATTGAATCCACTCTTATATTGATCATACCTTACGGTTTGTCTATAATTTGAGTTTATGTCTAAACAATTTGTTCCAAACATTGTTTATTTCTCTAAATTTGAAATTTAATTATTAAATATCTTATTTGTGTTTAAGTTATTTCCAAACCTATTATCAGATTTTGTTTGTCATTTACCTAGTAATGCCTTTTTGTTTATTACAAATTATATATAAACATCTCAATCACTAATATAATTATTAAATTTACTATTAAATCTTGACTCAACTCTTGAAATTTTGTCATTAAATAAAATTACCAGAAAATTGTTTATAATATAATGATTATGAAAGATATTTAACCAGATTTTCTCAATGTTTAACGGATGAGAACTTTTTCAATGAGAGCTCACGAAATGGCTTTGAGTTTATTTTGTCATTCAAAGTCTTATTTATTCAAAAGTGACTTAACTGATGCTGATAATGATTTTAATTGCATAAAACATTTTACAATTGTCTTTTTGTTACAATTCACGATTAAATTCAATTCAAATGAGACTAAAAGTATAAATTGTTTGCTAAAGAAATCTCTCACTTAACTGACAATTGACTTCGGGTTTTATAATATATACTTAAAACACAAATTAATTACTAAATCAATACAAATCTATACATTTGATGAACTCTTTTAATAAAAACACTACTATTTTTGTCCATTAATTGATTGCTTTTGTCTGTTTCTGATCTAATCAGACATATCTGACCACTGATTGATGTATGGCATCGATTGTCCACCAAAACAATCGTTTGTTTGTTTAACTGATTTATTGAAATAAAAGAATTTTCGAAAACAGTTCATATTATATATATTTGACAGCAATTTATTTAAAACTTTAATACATTCGTTAAAAACAGTTTTGAACTTAAGATATATACAAATTATAATATAAATTATAATAAAAATTCAATAATAAATCTAAAAACTATACAATAATAAGATTTGAACCGATTTTAAATTCAATATTTGATTTCACACTTAATTGAATGTTTGATGAATTAATAGATAATTGAATGAACGGCTGATTCTCAACACGTATTTCACTACTGGAACAGACATTTGTCATGAAATGGTATGAATGGTAATACTTATTACTTATTCAAAGAGTTTTTAGCCTTAAATACGATTTCGTTTGTCAAAAATGTATATAAGAGTGTGTATTGTATTGTATAATCATTATATTAAACGATGAGATGAATCGGTATATCATATGAATGGCAGTGAGATCTTTGTCCTAAATGTGTAGGAAATGTAACGTCTATTTCACAACATATGAGAACAGCTTTACATAACAAACCAATTAATCAATCACTTCATGTGGAAGAATGGGTTTAAGATTAAGAAATTTCATCTTTCATTTGTCTTTCATTTCTTTCATTAATTGTCTTTCATATGAAATAAATTCAAAAACTGTGTCTTATTTATACAATTTGTTTCAAGTTTTATATTAATAATATTGACTAAAGTATTGCCTCGGACAAATTATTTCCAATTTTCGTGAGACAATTGATGAGCAATTAATTGTATCAATAATTTGTTTGGTAATGAAAAAAATTAACTGTAAAAATGTTATAACAAATCACGAATTACTCTCAATTATTATTTGTTCTGTCAATTTCTGCTTGTTTAATAAGTTATGCCAACAATAATATCCTGTAATCGCTGCTTAGTATTATGGGAACTCCTAATTGTGCCTAATCATTACGCTAATTCTGGAACTTTAAGTGTTTGTTCGCCGCTCAGCCCTATTTTGATGGCGTGTCCGTTGGAGGGGCCGTTAGTTACGGTGAGTTGACTGCCGTACGGACTGTTGCTCTCATCGGTTATGTTTGAGACCAACGACTCTAACGCGCGGTACAGGAATAGGAAGTCATCCTGTGATCGCCAAATACCCGGCCGTCGCAAGTGATACAGCTTTGCGTACATATAGACATCGACGCAATCCTCGAAGTTTAGTTGCTTGTAAAGTGTGGTCAGACAGCAAAAAGTTGCCGATTCTGTGCCCCCGAACCTATTCATCAAAATATATTTGCTTAGAATGTGTTCACTGTATAAGAATAGTGTGGACGACATACTTATCCATGACAATGACGGGTCCATTAGGCATCTCAACGTACCAGTCCTGCACCACTTTGACCAAATCAAACACATTTGTGAGGGGCTGTCGTTCCGGCCAATCGGAACAGTGCACGACTCGACAGCAAAGCTCGTAATCGTCTTGAGTTGACTGCAGCATAAAGTCTCGGGTAGTGATGAAACCTCCGCCCTCTTGCACTATACGCGCCTCATCTGTGAGCTTGACTTTGAATGAGCCGTAATCACTCTCGTCATCCCTGTCCGGCCAGAACTGCGGGAACTCCTTCTCGTCGATGACTGATGAGAGGACGACTATTGTCTGCGAGTTGTGGTCCCAAACCATTTGCCAGAAATCAGAGATTGTGTCCCAAATCTCTCGTCATCCCTGTCCGGCCAGAACTGCGGGAACTCCTTCTCGTCGATGACTGATGAGAGGACGACTATTGTCTGCGAGTTGTGGTCCCAAACCATTTGCCAGAAATCAGAGATTGTGTCCCAAACCGGGTGTTGCGTTATAATGAACTCCCGGAGCCGATTGAATCCGGGGAGGAATGTTGCGTTTATATAGTCGGAGCCATCAGTTCCCGGAGTTTTGGGAATTATGTGAACGCGATGTGCTTCGAGTGGAATCAGATTCAGTGATCTGTTCTTCATTTTATTGCACGGCTTTAGAGCTGACACGACATTAAAGTCTTTCGCCTAAAAAAGTTATAACAAAATGTGAGAAATGATTGAATCCAAGAACCAGCGATTGAAACAAACCTTGAATTGAGTGACGAGACGGAACTGTCGCTCGAGTAGTGGCCAGTGATGGCTCTTATCATAGCTAACATTACTGGAACCGTCGCCTCCGGTCTGTAGGGTTTGAATGTATTTCAAGAGATGACTCGACGGCACCTCCGTATCGCCCGACTCGATGGCCTCCTGGAGGGCGTCATGAATAAAGATATACTGCTCCTCCGTCTGGACCAAGTAGTTCCTCTGTTGCCGGATGTGCTTCAGGAATCCAAAGACATTGATGGACTGTCTGTGCTTTATTTGTCGCTGCATAGCGTCCAACACGATGTAAGTGCCGGTGCGACCCACGCCGGCCGAGCAATGAACGATGATTGGGCCACCATTTGGCGGATTGGCTGCTGAAGACTTGCGAACGAATGACAAGACTGGAAGTGGATGGTCGGGGACTCCATGGTCGGGCCAATTAGTGTAGTGGTACTGATAGACTGTGCGCTCTGACCCGTGTTTCTGAAAGAAATTTTTGTTAATATTCTGTAAGAATTTTCAAACTTTTTACAGTAAGTTATTGAATACCTTTTTAACTTTAAGATTCTTGACGTTGAATGTCCTGAGAGTATACGTAGCCATCACTACCTCCTGAAGTAGTTTCACGTGAATTATGCCATAAGATTCCAAGCCTTCTTTAGGCCAATACATGTCACACTTGCGCTAAACACAGATAAATGACACCACTATTAGACACTTAATCAACACTCACGAGAGCACACAAACACATCATATTTCACTTCATTTTCTTTTCGCTTTTTTAGAAAACAATTGAAAGATTATATGGAAAAGAGTTAAGAGTTGTTAGAAAGTGGAGAGAGAATAGAGAGAGCTATTGGAAAGATATGAAGAGATTGAAGATTACTTACAGAGTCATCCAGTTCTGAGTGATAAGTATGAGATAAGTGGTGCGACGCATGCTATTAGACAAGAGATAAGAGAGAGACATGCATTCAATTGATTGATCCACAGAATTAAGACAGAGTTAAGACAAACACCAAAAAAGTAGTAAAGAAAGAGATTTTGTTTCGAGAAAACCGATAATTAATTAAAGAAATTGTTTATCGAAAGAAGAAATTTAGTTGTTTTGAAATGAGAGCTCAGAATTGAAGTCGTGTTGAGTTTTGTTTGAAGTCGTCTTTCGGATCAGTTTATGACAAATAGTTTTAGCGAAGAAAAGATAAGCAGAAGAGTTATACGTAAAGAAGCAAAGTATTGGAAATATAAGTCATTTCGATAGTATTATGAGTTATAAGCGACACACAAATGATTTTCGGTTCAATTTTCATTTGACATTTCGCGACAAAAGCTATGGATTTGCGCCGAGGATTAAGGACTGGTATTGCAATGTAAAGACACTTACTCTTCCCCTTTCCATTAGATTAGTTATCATTACTATAATGCAGACGCGTTGCTCCCAAATCATTCGCCAGTAGTCGTCAAACGTGGAGGGGAGGGGCCCTTGAGTTCCGATGTATGCCTGAGATTTGCCATAACCCTAATCCACGACAAAGTGTTATTAATATTTGGTTTGAATTTCTGATTCAATGTAAGACTCAATTGACACCAATGGAGACATACATCGATATAATTGGCGTTAATATAGTCGATGCCACTCTTCTTCTGAGTGCTCAACGGCTTGAGGACAACCCTCGTGTGATCGTAGGCCACAATATTCACGTATCGGTTCTTATTCTTGTTCTCCAAGAGCTGCGAGTGTTGACACGACAGGTCTAAGTCAGTCGCGTGTTGTATGGCTTCGTACTCGCGAGAGAAACCCAGGTCTCCGTCTGAATGCAAGTCCTGGACGTGTTTAGACCACTGCGTGACGGGAACCGATGTGTACTCCGAGTCGTCAAATACTTCGGATAGTTGTGGTGACCCTCCTCTGGTGGCAGAGGGCGGGTCATCCAAGTAGTAATAGGCCGCCTGGAAGTACTTCCGCCACAAGACAAACGATAGGACCGCCAGTATTAAGGCAAACGACGCGCAGACGACGCCCGCGATCATCGACGCCGGGAGTGTGGGCTCGACATAAGGCGATGACACGAAACCTATGCCACGAGTCATACAATCAATTAGTTTAATGGTCTCCAAAATGTGGACTTAAATGTTAAACCAAAAGCACAAACGACACCCAAAGTTAATATAATTAAAAGTTAAGACAATAAGTAATTGTTTGAATTGTTTGCTTACATTACATGAGAATATTCTACACATTAGAGTATATCTAAAGCTCTGGTGCTTTGCTTTAGTGAGAGAAAGTTTAGTGGAAATCGGAAAGTGATAGGACTTACTGATGCACTTACTCTGGAGGATGACCTTCCGGGGCTCACTGAACTCTCCCCGGTAAAGTTTGGCGTGCTCTGTGATACTCCTGGTGGCACCCTGCACCTTCACCTCATACAAAGTGCCTTTTGTCAGATTGGTTATGAATGCCTGCAATCATAGGGATTCATAATTAATGATTCGGAGATCTCTTAATTAAACAAATAATGATATGAGACTCACGTAATGCTCATAACGTGAGCTAACACCCCCTCCCGGGACGGCCACCTCCTCGAACTCACTGTCGCTCTTATGTTCGGATCGATAATAAATGAAGAAATAGTCGATTGAATTGTAGAAAACTGACGGTCGCTCCCAATAGACATGGAGGGCATCACTGGCCGCCTCGCAGGTCAGGTTCACGATTAGGGGAGCGCTCGGACCCGTCACGTCTGTCCGGAATTCAATGGTTTTGCTGGACTCCCCCTCCGATTTCATCGCGTAAGCCTTTACCCACACTTTGTATTGAGTGAATGGCTCTGAAAAAGTTTATGAAAATAAATTAGAAAATATTTTACAAAAGTATTTTCGATTATCATTTTTATACAGAATTTCTGGGAAAACAATTTCAATGTAGAGAACCCCCGCTTAGACACAACTAATGTATTTTTGGGGATAAATTGTTTTAAAAAACACTTTCTATTGGCATAACTTTCCGGGAGTCAGTGATATGTCATTCATAGACTTGTGTAGTAAATACTAAAAGTGAGGCCAGGGATCGTCTCTATTCAATCCGAATGTCTAGTACTGCACCCATAAAACCGATGTCTCAAAGATTTACTATTAAATAATATTTAATTTCTTACGGTATGTATGCCGTAAGAGTCAATACATGAACTCATAGTAA